CATACTAACTTTTTTGAAAACAACGACTAATTAACTATTAACGTAATTAAAGTGTAGAGTCGCTTTTGTTGGTTAACAAAAGCGACTCTACGCGCACGCTCATGAATAAGAGCCCCGTCATGACTTGAAACTAGTAGAGCATTAACTTTAACTACTAGAAATCGCAAAAAGCTGGGGTCCCGCTTAATACCGTTAGAATATACATACCTATGCTCCACGTCTTTCATGTAAAAATAACAAATAAGTACAAAATTCTCTATGAAACACCAAAATATAAATAACAATATTTTTTCGTTTTGTAAAAATAGTTCAATTTTCGGTATTATAACTAAAAAGGAATCTCTTCCAGACAACTTTTCGCGGTGCATATAATTTTGTTTATAATAAAAAAAATGTTTTTTGTGCTTAATATCTATGTTATTGGACAAAATAGAGCATCTTTCGAATAAATTTTCCGCCAAACAAACTACAATCGGGGACTTACCACAACGACACGTCAAGAAAATTCTCTCAAATAAATCAATAACATGAGTCAACATACATAAACATAATAGCTACACGCGAAACGCGTCTGTATTATATATCTACATTAGTACTTATATAGCGCGGCGCGTGACAAGTCGCTTGGCTGACATTCAATATTTTTTCCACCTATATTCGAAAGCGAAGTACAGAAGCAAATTTTTACACACACACACACCCTTAACATCACCATTTTACATATTGCCAATTGCTGTAAGTACGCTAGGCATAAATCTAAACTTGGTATTAAGACGGTTTAATTCAAAAATCAAATCAAGAACACTTTTAGCCAGGCATTATACCTTAAACCACCCGTTCCACTGCCAGTCAGCGATTACTCGAAGTCGTATTGTAATTAATTTATTTTCGTCTGCACGTTGTTTGCCGTCCTATATTACACGGAAGGATTATCTGATGGTAAGCAATGGGTGCCGCCCTTGGACACCCCCTATACTAAAGGAGTTACGAGTGCGTTGCCGGCGTTTTGGGATATGGGTACGGATATTTAAGGATCGGGGTGGATGGGCTTCCAATAACCTCACTCACACGGCGGAATGTCGAAATTTCGTGGTGGCCCGGAGGTTAAGGAGCCCGCTTCTCATGCATGAGGGTGTGGGTTAGAAACCTGGCAAGTACCAATGTGACTTTTTAAGAGTTATATGTACTTTCTATGATTATTTTGACACCACTGACATACGGTGAAGGTAAACATTGTGAGGAAACCTGAACTTATAATTTCTAATTTTAAGTTTGAAATCGCCAACCCGCATTGAGCAAGAGTGGTGATTAATGCTCTAACCTTCTCCGTATGAGAAGAGGCCTTTGGATTGGGCACTTATAGGCTGATGATGGCCTGTGCGGCATGGCAAAAAACGGTGTGGTTGTTTCACGCCGGTTTTCTATAAGACCGTGACACTATGGTCGAGCCGACCCATTCATGCCGAAGCTTAGCTCCCTACATTAAACGACTCTGAGTACGGCGGTATCTCGACCTGACATTGACACCGGCGCTCCTTACAAATGATTGCATCGTTCTTCACTAACAAATGAAAGACGCAAGAGTTGAATGCACTTCTATAAGGAAAACGCTGATGACGATTTATTGTACACTAGTTTTTGACCGAGGAATCTCTCGTGGCAAAATAAATCTTATCGCCTTAATCATAGGTACATGAATACCTTAAAGATTAAATTTAAAAAAATATATTTTTACTGCTATCAGAAATTCGTCACCAATCGAGTTGAGGATTGAAAAGGAAACTAGCGTCTTCTTTATCGGACTTATTTAAATAAATTCAACCTTATTCCGACTTTGCTAAAGTTTATTCAAAATCAAAAAAATCCTATTTTACATAATCAGAATTAGTTCAGCAGTTTAGAAGTTAACGCGTACCAAACAAACGTACCTACACTCATTTTAATACTTACAACATTAGTTAGGAGTTAATTTTCAAAATCAACGGGTTAGCGCCGTCATTCTTTTAAGTCCGTTGAGGGATAAAAATCATTTATTAAGATCTTAAAAGTGATGTTCAATAATTTATAAGATTTTTTATCATTCTAAAATAATTCGACATTGAAGGATATTTTGAAATCATATATGAGCCTTTTTGTGGCAATTTTAGTAAACATTATTTTATTGCTGAACGTCCGAGGCGTCAGACTTTGGCTTCATCAGACTGTTTTATTTTTTTATAAGTAACCTGATTCTCTATCAGTTCGTAATAAGAAATAGTTTGTTTTTTTCGCGTATCTCCTACTGGATCATCACACTCATGATAAACACCGGAGATACAATTATTTTTTCCCCTTACCCAATGCCTAATCGCGATAAACGCTAAATCTACAAAACATTTATCCCCAAAAGTCCAGAAACGCACTCGTAACCCTTCTGGAATGGGCGAGTGTCCATGGTCAGCTCCAAATGCTTACCATAAGGTAATCAGTTAGCTCGTTTGTCGACCTACACAAACGACACACAAACCAAAAACTTTTTTATAAATAAAATAAGGTGGAAATTCCATTTAACACGACGTTAAAAATATGAAGATCGTGGATGTAGAGAGTCGGTGGCTTGTAGCTAATCAATGTGAAGAACTTGTGAAACCACAGGTGGCCGGGATCCCATCGATCTCGCTAAAAATACGATAATATCAGATATTGGCTTGCCTACACCCTACTTACCAAAGGTTAGGACATAGTGGATAAAGCGAGGACGAAATATGTTCTACCTACGTAAGTAGTTACTGACACAAAAATTTGATTTTTTTAATTAAATCCTCTAATAATCAAATATTATATCTATAATATAAAAATGAATCGCGAAATATGTTGGTAAGCGCATAACTCAATAACGCCTAGACCAATTTTGCCAATTCTTTTTTTTTTTTGTTTGTTATTGTAAGGAGTAGGTTCTTACGAAAGTAAACTTTAGAAAAGTAAAGGGGAATAGCGGGAACTAACAACCCTTCCGGTACCGTAAGCGTTCGCTTGCAAAACAAATAACTGACACCGGGGTAGTCGGGTACCCAAGCGAAGCAGGGGCAGTCTGCTAGTGAAGAATAAAATTAATAAATATGAACTTGAATAAAACTTGCGTAAACTTGACAAAACGTCATTGACATGATATATTTAAGTCAACACGGCTCTAAAGGCAGAAAACAAAACCCTTAAAAGTTTCACCTACCCTAAAACAGGAATACCTTTTGCGTGAGGTGAACATCCTCAATTGACTTCTCCCGCCTAGGGCCGGCGAGAGGCGAGTGTCAGATTCTAACTGACTAAAAACCACCTATCCCTTCCCTAGGCCCAGGTCGCGGAAGCTTAACATAGGAATACCTAAACAATTAACAAATACATACTACTCATCTCTAAAAAGAAGTAACCCGCTTTTCTATACTATGTATGCTAACCCAGTTTCCTACGCGACAACAAAAATATCCGCGATCCGTCTCGCCGTCAACCGATGATAACGGGGCTCGCCCACCCACACAGCACTGAGTTACAGGGAACTACTCCATAAACTGTAGTAGAGTACTGGTTATTCGTTATATGAAAATGGTACTGCAGAACATCAGCATACCCGCTAGTTTGTATGGGATAGAAGAGACGAAGATAATAAATAAAAATATCAATGCACGAATCTGACATAGCTGAACTAGGACGACACATATTTTGTCCTCAAGTTATGTCAATCCCACATTTTTAATACTGTTTTTCTATTCAACGAGTACTTATCATCATCTAGTTAAAACCTGAAAGTTGCCTGAAGTTTGCCTCGTTGTATATCGCACAATTTTGTTAAGAATACGAGCCCTAAGCGTGGCTTGATACTTGTCGAGTTCCTTGTCAAATGCTAAACATGTCAATTAATTTAATATCTGCTGCGAGCTCTGTTAAACTTGAGAGATTAACTAAAGATATATATTGCTTTCAAGTATTCAGTCACTGAAGCTACCCAACAAATGACTCCACTAATTAAACTTCATTAAGACATTTCAAAAACCGCGAAATATTTACAAATCCTTAACGAACTGAAGGAGCCTCGGCCATTATGATTACGCTATTCTAGGTACAGTCAGGGAGAACACTGCAAAGAGCCTCGAAAAGGTTTAAGAGCGAAATATTCTCGGAAATTCGCTACCAACTTCGCAGAATTTCAGAATTGACGAGGATAGAGGACCTACCGTAAAAAGTTCTATGACGTAAACATTTTTGTTCCTATTAATACGAGACATTTTTTCGAATTTATGCTAGAACTTTTCGAAATATTTCCACAATAGATCGAGCTTTGAGTACGAAACTAACGTGTGCGACGCTGGCAAGGCACATAAAAGCTCTGTGTCGTGTGGAAAGCGCTGGTAGATAAGAATAAAAGTTTATACGTCTCCTCAATATCAGATAGCTGGTTAAATTTATCACGAGCAGTGACTGCAAAAGGCGGACTCATAAAAAGCGCGGCACGGTTGATTACAAAGCCGCGTCGGGTTTATGGGCGCGCATCTCGCGTGCCTCGCTGCCTCGCCGCCGCCGCTCCGACGACGCGAGGGTAGTTTTTCAGTCGCCGAGCGAGCCCCCGCCACATAAATAAGTGATCACGGCGCTACCCCCCTGCCCGCACCGCCCTCGTGACGCCTCCCCCCTCTAGCTCGTAAACTAAGCGCAGATAGCGAGAGGACTTAATGGCTGATCGGATTTTGATTAGCGTGGGCCGGCGACGCAACCCCGCACCCAGAGCCGAATTTGAATAGATAAGTGGGCACCCGAGGACCGGCGTTCGCGACCGTAATTTACATACTTACTGGCTTTCGGCGAACATAGAGGGTGCCAAGTTATGGACGACGCAAAAACGATAAAGTTGAAATAAAGCTTCGGTCATCGATTCGGTCGCGTCGAGTGGTTTTTTACAGAATTCTGTTTGTTATCGCTGCGGGCCGGTGCGGTCAAGCTGGCCGGTCAGCGCTCGTTTTTTATTAGATTTAATCGTTCCGCAGCGCAGTGCGAGCACTAACAGCGCACACGTGCGAGGTGACCTTATCTGCGCGGGAGGTGACGGCGCGGCTGTACCCGGCGGAGCCAAACACCGCGAGGCGGTAGTTTCGCTGCGTGCTATGACTTCGACCGCTCGCTACAGATCTGTAACTTGTCGCTATTGACGGAGGTCGACGCGGCGTCGGAAATTTGGGGAACGTTCTTGAGTTGAGACTAAACGTACAAGTACGGGCAAGTAGGTAGGTCGTCACCAGGCTGGCTGCGGTTGCCGCGGGGTCGCGGTTCGATAAGGCGCGGACGCCTCCCTTCTTGCCCCCCTCGCGTTTGTTTAGTTTGGCAGGTAAAGCACAACAGAGGGGCCGAAACGTGTCGCGTGGGAGTGATCGCCGGCTGACGTATCGGCTGGCGCACGAATAATTGAAGTTTGAAGGAAAACACGCGAGACGCTCCTCCGGATAGTGGGTAGATATTATAATAGACAGCTCGGTAAACATCGTCGCTGCTCTTAAGAATACATCGATGTTTGTCCGCCTCGGGGCTTGAGTGGAATCCTATCAATACATAAACATCGGTTATTTTGAGTAATGGTGCTAAATGACTATGAAAATATTTATGAATTTTAAAATGAGATGCCGATGCCTATAATTAATAACTACTTAGAGCTCGTCGTCTGTTTAATTAAGTGGCTAATTTATTTGTAGATGTGTCTACATTATTATGTCTGGGCTGAGGTCATGCGTCATCGCGATGAAAAACCTTACTACATTTGTACCATAAAAATACTGAGCCACGCCGTCCCTCGAAGTATAATCACATGTTTACGAAGTCTGCCTACCCCCCTTAACGACAAGTTCACGCCCGGCCCAGTGAAGGCCGTAATTAAGAAAGGACAGCGTGTACTGGGGTCGGCGATGAAGTCATAAAAACACGATGCACTGACACCAACAAACTCACTATATCTGTATTGTATGTATGTAGGTATACCTTTCTATACATACAATACATAAAAAGCGCGGCACGGTTGATTACAAAGCCGCGTCGGGTTTATGGGCGCGCATCTCGCGTGCCTCGCTGCCTCGCCGCCGCCGCTCCGACGACGCGAGGGTAGTTTTTCAGTCGCCGAGCGAGCCCCCGCCACATAAATAAGTGATCACGGCGCTACCCCCCTGCCCGCACCGCCCTCGTGACGCCTCCCCCCTCTGGCTCGTAAACTAAGCGCAGATAGCGAGAGGACTTAATGGCTGATCGGATTTTGATTAGCGTGGGCCGGCGACGCAACCCCGCACCCAGAGCCGAATTTGAATAGATAAGTGGGCACCCGAGGACCGGCGTTCGCGACCGTAATTTACATACTTACTGGCTTTCGGCGAACATAGAGGGTGCCAAGTTATGGACGACGCAAAAACGATAAAGTTGAAATAAAGCTTCGGTCATCGATTCGGTCGCGTCGAGTGGTTTTTTACAGAATTCTGTTTGTTATCGCTGCGGGCCGGTGCGGTCAAGCTGGCCGGTCAGCGCTCGTTTTTTATTAGATTTAATCGTTCCGCAGCGCAGTGCGAGCACTAACAGCGCACACGTGCGAGGTGACCTTATCTGCGCGGGAGGTGACGGCTGTACCCGGCGGAGCCAAACACCGCGAGGCGGTAGTTTCGCTGCGTGCTATGACTTCGACCGCTCGCTACAGATCTGTAACTTGTCGCTATTGACGGAGGTCGACGCGGCGTCGGAAATTTGGGGAACGTTCTTGAGTAGAGACTAAACGTACAAGTACGAGCAAGTAGGTACGTCGTCACCGAGCTGGCTGCGGTTGCCGCGGGGTCGCGGTTCGATAAGGCGCGGACGCCTCCCTTCTTGCCCCCCTCGCGTTTGTTTAGTTTGGCAGGTAAAGCACAACAGAGGGGCCGAAACGTGTCGCGTGGGAGTGATCGCCGGCTGACGTATCGGCTGGCGCACGAATAATTGAAGTTTGAAGGAAAACACGCGAGACGCTCCTCCGGATAGTGGGTAGATATTATAATAGACAGCTCGGTAAACATCGTCGCTGCTCTTAAGAATACATCGATGTTTGTCCGCCTCGGGGCTTGAGTGGAATCCTATCAATACATAAACATCGGTTATTTTGAGTAATGGTGCTAAATGACTATGAAAATATTTATGAATTTTAAAATGAGGTGCCGATGCCTATAATTAATAACTACTTAGAGCTCGTCGTCTGTTTAATTAAGTGGCTAATTTATTTGTAGATGTGTCTACATTATTATGTCTGGGCTGAGGTCATGCGTCATCGCGATGAACAACCTTTCTACATTTGTACCATAAAAATACTGAGCCACACCGTCCCTCGAAGTATAATCACATGTTTACGAAGTCTGCCTACCCCCCTTAACGACAAGTTCACGCCCCGGCCCAGTGAAGGCCGTAATTAAGAAAGGACAGCGTGTACTGGGGTCGGCGATGAAGTCATAAAAACACGATGCACTGACACCAACAAACTCACTATATCTGTATTGTATGTATGTATACCTATCTACTATACATATAGAATATTACAGTAACCGTGTATATTTATCCTTAGGTTTGTAAGTGAGCTGTTAGAGTTCTACTACACAGACGTTCAATTCAAAATGAAGGACTATCCACGCGCAAATAAATAGTTTCGTTTTACAATTTATGAGTAAAATGGATTTTCTGGACAGGAAAAACAGTTTGTTGATTATTTGTTGCGTACAGAAATCGCAACTCCAACAGGCAATTTAAGTTATATTAATAAGACCTTTGTCTTTGTGACTAAACTCCTTGCTAGGCCGAAACTAAAGAAAAATAAATTCCATTTTCAAATTAGGTACTTTTCGATTTACACAGATTATTATTTGTTTAATATTTTTAATAAAACATAACTGTTGTTTAGATAGAGTCCGTTTCAATTACCGCCTTTTACAATTAATATAAAAATTGGCTTCTCGGTTTTATAGTTTAGTTAAATCCTATCTTAAAACTTCATATCCGTAGTACGCTGACAACGGTCAGCTGACTTAGGGCTAGCACATAGATACATCTAACTTTTTATCGATTCAAATATTCAGTCGAGTTGTGCACTTGATGAGAATACACACAACTAAACGATCGATATTATTCGATTTATTTTATAAAACCGTTCTAATAAGTATGTTTGGGCAATTCTTGAATCAAAGTGGTGCGGATCATTGTTTATCGATTTTATACGTACTTCTCGACAATTATAATACAAAATGAATACGTTATCGATAGTTGTCGAACTCCTCAATCAAAAAGCAGATCTTTTCAATCGATCAATTATCGAGTTGACAATCATGAAGCAAGTGAAGCTAGGTTTCAATTTCGGTAAGCATACCGACTGCCTTTATTAGGATCCTGTCAACTGTCGCATATAATATAGAGCATAAGCACAAACAGTAGCTTTATTCAATTCTGGCTGTCCATAGTATTACACAGAATTGGTTTAGCTTTAGCAGGCAATGGGTTAATCCTATGCCTTAAATCCATTTCATGCAGAAATCTAGGTCAGTCGTTTTGTGAATCCGTCAGGACAATTAGCGGGAGACGTCATTGATATTGATGTAACTGGAAATACAGATAATCCTGTAACATGATAGCTAAAGCGTTGATTGAACCTGAATACTTATTAAGGAATTCCAAATTGTCTCTAGCACTATTATTTAGGTATAAATCTTAAGGTTTTCTAGGGCTGCGGGTTAAGCGCAATATGATACTGCGGCCTCGGCGTAGAGTAGAAGAAGGAACGGGAGTACGGGGCTTAGTTTAGGGGTTTAGTCTGTAAGAGTCTGACACTCTCTCTCGCAATTTTATGATTTTCGTTCTACAAATAAAAAAAGTTTTTGGCTAAACATCTTACTACGATTAATGATGAGATTCCTAACAGTTTCTTTATGTCTGCCTGTTGCGTTGCCGACCTTTTTTGGGATTTAAATGTTAGGGGATTAAGGGGTTGAGGATAGGGAGGAGGGATTGGACCTCCGGTAACCTCACTCATACGACGATACACAAGTGTTATCACGCCGGTAGACCATCCCATCCGCGCCGGAGCATGGTCCACACTAGAAATCGGATTCAAGAAAAAATACACTGCTCCATAACCAATCAAGCAAAAAACGAAAAAAACAACCTCAGTGCATTAATTTAAAAATGGAACGAATAGTCAGGGAGCCTCGTATACGACCTACAGCTATGTACAGCTACGCTTCCCCGTTTAAAAGGCCATCAAAGAGCCGTCTATATGAAACGTCCCATTTTACATTCGGTTGCTAGGACCAAGGTTTATGGCCGGCCAGCGAGGAATTCTCGCCGTAATGAGGAAACTCAGCATCCACTACGGAGACCCGATTGTTCCGCGTACACTCTCGATCACTTGGACACGTTAGCCGTTGCAAGCTGTAAAACTTTTATTATCTTTTTGATATTCGACGTGGAAAACGTGTAATTGATTTTACGTATAACTGTTCAGATCTTCAATATTGCTGTTAGGAGTTGCGAATTACAAAAAACTAATTAAATATGAACGAAAGAATATTCTAGATTTGGTCATTATTTAAGTTTAGATTTATGAGATGAAACTATCCAAACAATGCTCGGTATTGGAAGGTTTTACTCGGTCAAAAATAAATTATTTCAAATTAGACAACCATAAAGATACTTAAAAAGAATTGCACCTTCATTTATTCATTTTATGATATAGTATTTTAAATAATCCAAGAGAAATAAGTATTCTCACTGACGTAAAACGGTTATTACGTCACAACGTACTATTTCAAACAACATTTACATAAAATTGTCGAATTTAGTTCAAAAGCTATTCCTGTCCTTCCAAATGTATTAGGATATGTAACATAATGCGATATGATTGTCCATTGTGTTTTTTTTTTGTATATAAAATTAAGATGTCCATTTTTCACAATAATTAAGTAAAATGACCTATCTCACTCTCTATTGAGGAGGAAACTTTTGCCAGTTACGTTACAAGTCTTGTGTGATGATATCAAACCTCATTATAATGTCGACCGGTTAGTTCATACGCACTGATTTCATGTCATTAATTAAAATCATTTCTATACCTTCTAAAACACAACTATTTACAATAAACTCACCTTTTTATACGATTTCACTTTTAGAGTCGAGAACCATTGGTAGTAACTAATCCTTGCTTCATTTTCGCTCGCTACCTTGTCTCAGTCAAAAGCTCAGGAAGAAAGTTTTCTAATATCTCCATATTTTTTTGTCGTTTCTGAACGCGGTAACTAGAAGAAAGTGGTTAAAGACACAGGGTGAATTGTAACGAGGATCCAGTGTTGAGTGACGGACATTTTAAAAGCACTTAAATAATAATATCAGTAAATGAGGGACAAACAGATGGACGGAGTTCGTATCAGTGGAGGCACAGTACTAGTCCTTTCCAGCACTACATATTTGATAACGAGGTTCTAAAATGTGTATATGTGTTAATATGAAGTACAATAATAAAGGAACTGGTATTTCATGAAATTGCCATAAACCCAATGCAATCACAGCAAAAGTAAAAAATCGCTATAGTTTGTGCTTATCACAAAATCGTGCCACTTCTGCCATAGGTCGGTACGAGTAGGCCGCCTCGACCAGAGTGATACCACGGCTCCACGGAAAACCATCGTGAAACAACCACTACGTTCTGTTTCGCCGTGTAAGCGATGTGACCAGAGCCCAAGTCTTCCTCCTTGCTCATCCCTCCCGAATCCCTAAACCCTTTATCCCCAATAGGTCAACAACGTACTTAATCTTGTTGCGGGTAAGTTTAGGGTGATAAAAAATACGTTAATATAATGTGTGTTTGTAAAACAATGATTAAGGTATATTATCTCATATTCTTCATTACTATAAATACAAAAGAAACACGAGTATTCACACAACTAATAAAAGAAACTAGTTATCACTACTAAAAATCAACTTATCACTACAAACAAAAACGCGCGATCATAAGACCGGGCGCGCAATATGGCATGTCACAGATTAAACGTTGACTAGTCACGAGCGATTAATCGCAATGTTCTTCGTCCTACTCGTGTCGTAAGTAATAAAGTTCGTTGCGAAGATTAAGTATAAAGTTGCACGTGCTTTGGACGTTAATCGGAGCTGATATGTTGAGCATTTTCCATCGTAGCTAGCGGACTTACTGGCTACTGTTTCTACACTTTGATTTCTTATTTGTTGTGGATCAGTTTTTGATCCTGAAACATCCACAACTTGGATCCTGAAACATAAACCTAGGAATTTTTGTAGTATTTTTACATATTTCGACAAATTCAAATCTAGGTATTACAAAAGTTTTCATACCTCTGCGATGCTTTTTCAGCGAGATATCGGCAATAACGAGTTTTTCACCGTTTCAATGGCGCGGCCATGGAGTTTTAGTCTTATAGCTCCTAAAATATAAACCTAGGATTTTTTACAATTTTTTTACAAATTGAATCTGTTATTGACCTAAATTGCAGGTCTCTGCAACGCTTAGTTTTAAAGATCTCCGTGGCCGCGCGGTTCTCCGCGTTTCAATGGCGCGGCCACGGTTAAACCCTTATAACTTTTTAACCCTAACTTTGACACATTTATGGTTTTGGGAATCAATTTCTACAAATTTTTACAAAACCATGGCATGGTTTTTTTTTTAAATTTCGCCGTGGCCGCGCGGTCGAAACGGACACCAGTTTTTACCACATAGTTGACTTTCAGGTTTTATTTTTCAGTTTTCTTTAGACAAATGTTTGGAAGAAAATGGGTTGAGGAATCAGGTTGTGTCTTACAGACAATTGTGGCATCTTATCCCAAAAAATTGAACATGACCTTGATTGCTAAAGAAGTGAAAATGTATGGAGACTAATAAGACAGAAAGTAAGATATAATTTTTGAGCATCTAGCATTATTGACATCATATTTCCAAAAAGAGAATATTCAAGCAATGACGCACAACCAAACTATGCGTACTATACCTAAGTGTAGGTACGTATCACCGACATTATTTCGGTCGCACGCGGCCGCGACCCGGCGCGATTTTAATTAAGTCCCGCGGCCGCCTTCCCGTCGCGCGACAAGGGACGCCTGCTCCGTGCGAAACCGAGTAATCGAGTGGTTACTACAATCGATTTTAGTAAACAAAGGACTCGGTGCAATTTTCTGTAGCAACAAAATGAGAGACGGTGAGTAAATTAAAAATCGTGTGTTGCATTACTCTCACGCTGTGCCGAGTTAGGAACAAATTGAAAAAGAAATATTTTAATGAAAACTTGATCGTGACACGGTTCCCCGTTTACATTTCGTTTTAAATGTGATACGGTGAAATTTTTCTTTAACTATTATAGCCAAGCCTCGGCACTAATTGGCAGGCTTAACCGGAGTGACACCACGGCCGCACAGAAAATGGGCGTGAAGCAATACTTACATTGTGTTTCGTCGTGTGATTGAGGTTAGCGGAGGCTGAATCCTCCCCATTTCTATCCTCAAATCCCCTATCCGTAAATCCCTTACCACCCACAAGAGGCCAGCAACGCACTCGCTGCTTTAGTATTGCGAGTATCAATGGGTGGCACCAATTGCTTACCATCAGGTAATCTACCTGCTCATTTGCCAACTTATCACAAAAAAAACTTATTTGCCAACACTTTATAGGAAATCCCATGAAATATTTAGTAGGGAAAGCGGTGGAATAGCGTAGAGTCAGTGTGAAACTTGGTCTTTCTAAGCACGACGCGCCAACGGAGACTGTAAGGCCATCAGTAAGTCACGATATCTGTAAACATATGTAAATACGCTGTGGCCGGTGTAACGTAATGCCGCATTACCAGCCTCCACAGACAATTTAATTCGAATTAAATAAGGTACGTTAAACCGCTGGTAACTCGAACCATTCGCTAGTACCATTACCACCATTTTATGCGTTGACTTCTATTTTTTTTAATGTGAAATTAGCTTACTTCTGTAATTTTGCAACTACTAGAAATTAAGACAACAAAAAATTCAACCACCTGCTTTGCATCTTAACATTTTTCATACATCTATCTCTGAAACAAATTCAACCAAGTCTAGTTCAGCAGTTTATACATATACAACGCACAAACAGACTCTCGCGTTAACTTTATTCATTACATATAGTCGGGATTGAACGGTTAACCGGACCGCTGCTAGCGAACTGTCTATAAACCTAGATCGGGTTCCGTGAAATTAGTTTATTGAAAGAACCGTTAGGATGCTAAAAGCTCAGTAAATATTTACTCACTTCAAAACATATGTTTTGATTTGACGTTATTTTATTGTGACGTTTACGAGTTCGTTTCATTTTGAAGGCACCCAACGCTTGAACACGAGGTCTAGAATATAATTCCGTATTCATGGGTTTCCAAAAGAGGTATTTAATATTTTTCACTGATTCTAATCGAGTTCTCAATTGTTTTTATATGATAGGTCGGCTAAAGAGCAGGCTGATTCCCTGATGGTAAACAATCAGCGCCGCCCATGGACACTCGCAAAAACAGAGGAGTTACGAGTGCGTTGCCAAACTTTTGGGGATAAGGGATTGGGGAACGATTGAGCCTCTGGTAACGTCGCTTACACGGAGAAACACAACGCTGTGGTTGTTTCACGCCGGTTCTCTGTGAGGCCGAGGTATCATTTCGGTCGAGCCGAGACATTCGTGCCTAAGCGTGGCTCTCCCACACTTACTCCAGTTGATAAACATGTTTATTACAACTTTTCCGGTATTAATTAATTAATTATTGAACACTTCTTACAAATATATTGTACAGACTTGATGACATAGACATTCTCTATCTGTCAAAAGATCTTCTATCTGAGCGAGGCATAAACTAAAACTTTTTTTTCACTTTATGCCAAAATCTCGAATAAGACCTTATAGGTATATACTTTATTGCACACATACACCAAGTAGCAATACATGGGATACTATGACCGAATGTTGTGATTACAATGGGCGGTCTTATCACACAAGGTGATTTCTTCCAGACAACCTTTAGATGACGAATAATCTTAGAGAAAAATAAAGTTGACCAAATTTTATTGAAAAGAAAAAATGGAATTTTCGTATCAAGTCAAGTGGGTATAATTATGGAGAGAAATAATTGCATACATATTTTTAGAACAACGGTACCATTGACGACCTGCCTCTCTAGAACTTCGCCCACGGTGGAATTCTAATTAATTACTTAATATGAATATGAAAATTGAAAAATTATAAATGCAACGGCAATTAACAACTTGTTCACTGCATGTTCAGACCATGAATTTTAATGTCATGTTCAAACTAGTTGTTCCATGCCATTTTACGCGTAGATACGTATAGAAGTAGCCTAAAAATCGGAACATAACGAAAAATTCTACGTGTACTTATAAATCCTTACGAACCTAATCCTAAAATCGAACAAACGAACACATATTAAACAAATATGTTAATTGACAGGAAAAATAAATATTTCAGTTTTACTATATTTGTATATAGTTTCAATTAGTCTTTTTTAGTCAATTGGGTAGTTTCCTAGGTCAAAAATAAATTAATTCGACGATAATTTCAATGCAATAAAATATTGAAAAATAACTATACTTTTATTCATCGATCTGTCGATACACTACATTTTTGATATTTTTTGACTAATTTTAAAGAAAAGTAAGCTATTTGGATAAAAGTAATGAATTTGACTAGTTGGAAACTACCGTTTTGCTGCATTAATACTTGGTACTGGTTGTAATTTTGATGTTAAACAATACATTTTTTTTTAAATAAATGTAAAGTGTGGAAGAGCCATGCTTCGGCACGAATGGGTCGGCTCGACCGGAGTGATACCACGGCCTCACAGAAAACCGGCGTGAAATAACCACAGCGTTGTGTTTCGCCGTGTGGGTGAGGTTACCGGAGGCCCAATCCTTCCCCTCCCTCAATCCCTCCTAAATCCCTAAATCTCCAAATCCCTAATCCCTAAAAGGTCGGCAACGCACTCGTAACTCCTCCGTTGCGAGTGTCCATGGGCGGCGCTGATTGCTTACCATCAGGTAATCCGTCTGCTGGTAAATGGCATGACAATAGAATGTATTTGTTGTAAGCACCAAGTGTGAAGTTAATGTTTTATGTACAAGAAATTTGTGCTATCGTTAACGCTTCTTGAGAATTGCTTTAAATAAACTTTGATGAATGTGTGGAGGTGATAAATGGTTCTAAAATAAATAATAATATTCTTTAAATTGTACAAAAAATATAATAAAGCTTTGACATTTAGAAAAGGAGAAGACAGGTGAAAATAATGGTCAAGCTAGTTATATCTTATTTTATAGCCGTTGTAAGTTTTTCTTAGGAATCGATGTAGAGGTAACGAGGCGTGTAGTTTTATATAACCAGGATGCCATCTATTATCTATTTACATGCCAGCTATGTCGTCGTAACCTGTCATAATTATACACGAGTTAATACATAAAATCATCCACTGGAAGGAAAGACAAAGGTGCATGGTAAATGGTTTTCGTTTTGCGGAGGAAAATCGCCGTGTGATGGGTCTGAGGGAGTGTCAAGACTTACTGACTAATAGCCAACTCCTGCTCCGTGCTGAGCGTAAAAGGTTTGTCATTGCGCATACCACAGCCCATGCCGAACATATCAAATTCATAAACTCACTTTTCGTCAGTCAAAAATATTTCTATACGAACCAATGGCGATTATAATAGTTTAGTCTGTGACTACCCATAGCAGGTACATATACCACGGAGAGTCACATCAAACTGAGCTACTTCATCATGCGGTCTAAAATATTCCCAAACCGGGATACCGACACTTTATTGCATGAGACTAAATAGTAAATAACCTTACAGTATGCCTTTTTTTGAGGGGAAAATCATCAAATGACTTCTCCCGCCCAGGGCCGGGCGGGAGAGAGTGTCAGACTCTTACTGACTAAAAACCCCCCTGTTCCTTCTGCTCTAAGCCGAGGTCGCGGTGCCTCATTGCGCTTACCCCGCAACCCCGGTTGAACATCAGCCCTATAGAGCCCAGTCTGTGACAGTATGCCTAGTTTAACTTTGCGTTGAGATTGAGTTGAGACGTGTGCTCGTTTGCCTCCTATTCCTTAAAAAACATATGTATAACCAACCTAACTCTTTGGGAAATATAATATACAGCGTGATATACTTCAACGTTGGTGGAGCTAACATTTGTTTGACAATAATTTTGTAGCGAGTGGCTAAATAACGGTTCGAGCACCGCCACCTTGTCTACGTACCAAATGCAGTTATGTACAGGTTGATCTTAAATATGTAGACGTCATAAATATAGTATAATATAATTTTATAGACGAGGTTAAGAAAGATATTTTGATTATAAATTATGAATTACAAGTAATATAACATTTAAAAAAAGATATCGCGTGGAACATTTAGTTCTTTAATAGAAATAGAAAGCAGGCTATATTTTATTCTGTCATAGAGTAAATATAGTAAATTTAAGACACTCAAGCAAAATTCACAAACTCGTAACTTAACCATATTTGAGTATTTTAACTAAGGACTCTTTAATGATTACTATTGCATCGAAACTCTTAGCTGAGGACTGTTCAACCAACGAGTTACAAAAGAAAATCAGTAGTGGAAAATTTAGCAGCCTGTATATTCAGCGAACGTGCCAGAACATTCCACTGCTGTACAGAATTCGCTGCGCACTGGTATGCAACGAGATACCTAGCCGTGACGTCACAGCTAGCAGACCTGCGTTTTGTTCTATCACGCCAAGCCTGCAGGCGCCACGTGTGATGTCATTATGCATAAGAAAATCTAAAGTTAAAGAAAGGAAAGAAGATAAGAAGAAACATATTATTAAGATCTTTCAAATCCGTTTTTGTAAGCACATTTGATTCCTAAACATGTATAATACAATTCAAAATCATAAAAAGAACATGGGCAACTTAATAAAAAACGCATTCCAAAGGAAACTTAGGTCAAACAAAACGAATTTAGAAGTGAAGGTTGAAGTTTCCCATACAGCACCCGCATTAATTCGACATAGCGGTCCAATGTACGCAGACGACAGATTAACCATCGTGTCGCATGACGCAAGCTAGACTAGTCGCAAGCTTTATTATCAGAGCGAGCACGTCGCGCGATTGAATCGCAGGTCACGACGCCTCGGGACGATCGCGTTATTAATGCACACGAAATGAGAACCATAAAAAAGCGGAGTAGGACAATTGATTTTTACGAGCGATGTGGAATATGTGGCGTTAATCCTTCTTGGCTAAAACAAGAAACTGGAGATATAGAATCGGTCGATACGTTCAAACATTTAGTTCTTATTGGGTCAGGTTCTAGAAAGGAGGTTGAATAAAAACAGGTTATATTTGTTTTTAATAGTGAAAACAAAATTAAAATAAATCACAAGGTCTTCTCTGCGCCTTAAAATTGCACCTATACACACAACAGAATTAAAAGCTACAATCACGAAACTGCATTGAACAATTATGAAAAAGCTAAATAAAGCAGGCAATCCGGCCAGCAGCCAGTTCTCATTGTTTGATTGTTCACTTCAAGTTTTACGCTCGCAGTCGCTCGTAAACCTTTCATATTCCCAATACTTGAAAAACGGAAAAGCATCGAGAAAGCCGCTGTTTTTTTCTCCTATTTTCCTTCATCTACGAGGACGCAGCCCGGGGTGGCAATTATGCTCGGCTGATTGGCAGCACACTTCATCCAAATTACTTTAGGTACAGATTCTTACAGTACGGATGGGTCCTAATTGACACGTCCAAGACTGGCAGGCACCACACCTTGTCTTGCAGCGGATAAGCCAAGTCCTCGCCAGCTGACTACCAATTACTAGTCCGAACATGCGTCATGTCTTCACATTCGTTTCTTTTTCACCGAAAAATGGAAATGCTTTTTCGGTTTCCCGTTTGCGCCGCTCGGGCAGCTAATTATTCAGTAGCTACGAGTGCATTTAGACCGAATTAAAAGACTTTATGTTGGTAAATCATTAAAGGAGTTTCAATACCTAGTAAAATGTTAATTGTTATTTATAGTTGCACGAACTTTTTGTAGTATGTGTAGGTCAAAAGGATAGACATGATGATGACATATTTATGGACAAAATTCAATACTTCTCGCACAAAACAAAAAATAATTATTTTCGTTTTTAGTAGTTGTTGCTGCATATGCAGTGCACCATGAAATATCGAAGTCAATTATAAGTAGCTGGACTCTTGAGTTGTTGGGCCAAGTTATTGCTGTAAACGGCTTCATACATAAACATTTTCATACACACAATAACGCTTTATATTGTCCGTATATCGCTCATGGTTGATGAGTTACAAATTGCGCGGGAAATCTGGTCCCTCCGAGAAAATACTGAATGCTAATGACCTCTTAACTGAATAATATATTCTATTATCTCGTTTTAGTCAACTATTCTTCCAATAACTTTCCCCTCGTCCCTATCTCGAAAACCAGACGTCTTTTCCGACTTACGCAACAGAATTTACGCTTAAGCGAACCGAGGTCCGAGCACTAACGTTACTCACTCACACCCATGCAATTTGTATGAGCTGCTGACCAGACCAATGAGACCCGCTCCACCCCCTGTAAATCGAAGGAAATAAGGTGCCGGAGGGGTAGAATGTGCAAGTGGTCAGGGCTCTTCGTGTGACAAACTATGGTATAGTGCGGTATTGGTAGCTATCCATTATAAGTTGAGCCCCCACGTTCCTCTAATGCAGTCGGAGTGTACACTTTGAGGAGTTGGTGTGAACATGGTGAGGGGTCGGGTTGTAGTGGTCGGTCGGCAGTACATTACGGTAGGTAGGTATGTGTGGCGAGTGGCGAGCGGGCGCGCGCGGCGTGTGGGTGAGACGTTTACGGTCGGATCGCTGGTCGACGACGTTACGGTGGCCACGGTTCCAGCGAAGGGAAATGAGACATCGTAAAATGTTAGCAATAAAAATAGCCAAGAGCTGCATTTAACATTCACTGGATAGAACTACTGACTAGTAGCAATTTACATTTTAAATAAATTCATAATATTCACCTTGCACAAGGGTGTCTAAACCTCTGCTCAAAGTTTTCAGGAAGGGTCAATGTAAAGAACAGGCAGAAAACAAGTACATAAATTGAATCCCCTGTTTTATTTCTGTAGCGGCACTATCACGTCGCTACATTACTTAGATACGATAGAGATAAGACATACATGTTAATTGTTGCACGTTTGTTAGGATAGCTAAATCTGAAAATCTCACGCATCTTCTTAGTATATAAGCACCAGCAATTAAAGTAATAAACAGACCTTAACCATCTACAGTCTCATTATTTACCTTGCCACGAAGTCTGGCAAATTGGTGACCCGACGAAGAACAATCAACATGACTCATTCACCATGCAAATCAAGCAGCAGCCAACAAGAAGCCTTGGAGATATCAGCCGGAATTTTGGAGGGACCAACCCAGATTATGGTTTAAGCAACTAGAAGCCATAGTAGCACCACAGAAGCAAGGAGACGATTACAAGTACTATACGGTCATTGCAAAACTGCCAAAAGAAGAAATAATACAGGTTAGTGACCTCATTACTTGCCCACCGCCAATAGAAAAGTACAAGGCTATCAAAGAACGCCTAATCAGTTGCTATGAGGAATCAGACCAACGTCAGCTCCAAAAATTATTGTCTGAAATGGATCTCGGCGACCAGAAACCATCACATCTTCTGCGCAAGATGCGGACCCTGAGTAACGGAAATATCAGCGACGAAACCATCAAACTTCTATGGTTGAGGCTTCTGCCACCATCAGTGACTTCGGTTCTAGCAGTCACAGAAGACATAGATGTGAACAAGATGAGCCAGATCGCGGACAAGATATTAATAAATTCAACACGTACAGAGGTGTCAGCTGTAAACGGAAACAATCTGGCGACGATACAATGTCATGCATACTAGCACAGTTAGCAGAAATGCAATTGGAACTAAATGCAATTCAGCAAGGTCAAAAAAACTATCGACGCAGCACTCAAAGTTATTCCAATCGTCGGCATTTCCTACCACAGTCAAGTTCAAGAGAAAGAAGGCACTTTTGTTTTTACCATGGAAGATTTAAAAAATATGCACAAAAGTGTGTTCAACCTTGTGATTGGAAACAGGATCTCAACTCAAGGAAACAGGGAAACTAATTGAAGCACGGACAACGGCGGAACTCTGTGCTATTCACCCGTCCAACCGCCTCACTATTACCGACCGAAAAAGTGGTATGAGATTTTTGATTGACACGGGAGCAAATATTTCAGTTATTAGCAAGCCACAGAGACATTCACTAATACAAGATGAACAATGTATACTTTATGCCGCCAATGGTACAAAAATTAAGACATATGGTGAAAAAACACTCTCTTTAAACTTCGGGCTACGAAGAAACTTTGTATGGAACTTTGTCATCGCCGATGTAACACAACCGATTATTGGAGCAGATTTTTTAGAGCATTATAAGCTATTAGTCGATATAGCTGGTCGAAAACTCATAGATAGGGTAACTGAGCTGACAACGCCCGCAACCCTGATCAAATCGACGCAGCAAACAATCCGCACTATTAACATTGAGACGAATCCACGCATTACTCAACTATTAAATGAATACGAGGATATTACGAAACCAGCCTCCCTCCACACTACTCCAAAACACAAGATTAAGCATCATATTATCACTAAAGGACCACCGGTATCAGCACGTGCAAGACCATTACCTCCTGATAAATATCATATAGCAAGAAACAATCAGCACAAATGCAGTGGATAGTTCATCGACTGCCGCCGCCGTCACAACAAAGGCAGCAGTTTTTATTTCCTTCGAATTAGCAACAATGACATTACATTACGCATAGGATGTAATTTATCAGCAAGGTTAAGTTATTATATAATTAGGTACATACTAATTTTTTTCAATTTATATGTTAATTATTTTTAAAAGGGGGGAGTATATGTAGCGGCACTATCACGTCGCTACATTACTTAGATACGATAGAGATAAGACATACATGTTAATTGTTGCACGTTTGTTAGGATAGCTAAATCTGAAAATCTCACGCATCTTCTTAGTATATAAGCACCAGCAATTAAAGTAATAAACAGACCTTAACCATCTACAGTCTCATTATTTACTCATGCGATTACATAGTTAGGCGTAATTCAAAATTGTTGATAAATGTTACATTCATTGCAAACGGAACTCTATTAGGCCATTGAAAAGTATCAAAATGTGTCAGCACATGTACTCAAAACTGCTATGTTCTCGTATAACCATGGATAGCTTCAAGTATTCCATTAGAGTGTTATTGACATTCAATTTAGCGTAGCTTTGCCGTGTATCAGTGGTGTGGGTAAACCTCTTTTATTTCGTTCTGACTTTATTCTGTTTTCCAACTATTTACGTGTCTATTACCTATATATTTGCGACGTAGTCCCCTGTTGTCGCGGCTCCGTGACGTGGCCCCTAAATCCGTCAGCGAGAATAACGTTATTGGAATCCCCCCTTTTAGGGGGGTATATGGGTAAGTAATAGAATGCAGATGCTATTGCTATTCTATTAGCCACTGAAAACAACTTGACAAACGCCACGATCGAACTACAAACTACTAGGTACCAAAAAACCTTAAATATCCACTTTGTCTGAAGGGTTGGGTGTGTTGCGATATCGATACATAATCTTAAATGTCAATAAATTTTCATGTTTCTGAAATCTGATTCTTATTTATTACCAAAGTAAAAAAAAATCTGGTGCTTTTAGCTTTATTTCTAAATCTAAAAACATCCGACAATTTCGCAAACCATATTCACAGTACACGCGGGCGCAATGCCGCGCTGCGAACGAGACGCGTCGCGGTTGGCCCCCGCGTCGCGCCAATTAATTACGGTGGCCATCTTAGCCCCCGGGGCCGGCACGACCCCCTCCACCCCACCGCACCACACCCCCGCACGCTGACGGACAATAATTGCCGCCGAATCTACGTCGCAAGCCTTGCCCGCACCTACTGGGACCAAATTCGTGAACGCTTTGTCTTTGGAACTAGGTACAAGGTCCAGAAACCAACCCGAGTACCCGACACTCCGAATTTCCAGGCAGCATAATAGACTGTTCGAAAATCGATTACCATTAATTAATACGTTTATATCAATACGTAACTGATTAATGCAGACGCAACAGGTTAATTGTCAGCGGCTACTAAACGCAAATTGAGTACAATTTATGGGCATTAAGACTTGTGGAAAGAAGCATAGAAACATTAAATATTCAACAAATCTTATAAACCAAGTAACTTCAAACAAACAACGTTGTTTTTAAAGAAAGTTCTCAATACCTTTTATTATTTGAAAAAGGACGAGAGATTATAAATAACCTTTCACAGAGTATGGGAGGTGCGACGCTGCATGCTACTGGGGCGTGCCTAATGAGTTGAAAACAAAACTTTTATGGTCTCCCTCCAAGGTCGCCGACCAAGCTCACTTTCAACGAGGTGAAGTTGCAATAATACAAATAAACAAGAGACGACCGTGACCTCTAAAGTTAGTCGTTAAAGTAAAATATTGCTGGTCATTACCACTAAGGAATGAGGATTAAAATTTTCATTTGATACTTGAAAGACACGTTTTATAAGCTGTTTAGTTGAAGTATTTGTACTTATATGTCTTTTATAAAGGTAACACTAAGTCGGTTACTTTTCACTTTAAAGGGTTGATAGATTCGAACGAAAATCGAAATTTCCACTAATGACTAAAAGTAGACTGTTATTGGTGTCTCAATATTTAATATTATAAAAATGGAATGCCGTTTGTTAGTCTCACAAAATCTCGAAAACTACTGCTCGAAATTGGCTAGTTTTGGTCTTGAAATTTTGTGAGTCCAGGGGAGGTATAAAAGGTTAGCAAATATTACAGTGGAACGAAGCTAACTATCAGTTCTCCTGCATCAAGAACAAGTCTTAACAAGTCCAATTTTTTTAAACCTACGGGTAGTTTCTGCCATAAAAACTGACAAACACAAAAAGCTATTTTAACAGCCACTTGCGGTTTGAATTGAGTAAAATATTCGTATGATCTACAGGTACTTCAATGTTTAATAGTAAAATGCGAGTGCGTTTAACTGTACGCTCTTCAGAAAGTCTATACTGTAGAATTGAATGTCAATGTTAGATACATTTTAGACATGCGACGATAATATACTACACTGTTCCTTCAGAGGTTTTAAAAACAAAAGATTTCAAATAAAACAAAGGAGGTTTTGATATGATATATTCAATATTTGCCCATTGTATATTGTTTCGAAAATATTTTAAATGTTTGTTAGCTATAGTTATGTATGTGTGTACATGTATAAATAAAGAATAAAAAATAAAAAAATGGGAGGTGCTTCCTTGGTCGGTATCTGCGGTAGGCGTACACAATTCGTAAAATATTACAAAACAAAAAACCATAACCAAACTGTCGTTTCCAGAACTACTTAATTACTAAAGTTAAGAAGAATTCATAAAGAAAATTCTTCATAGTTTCATTACTGAACCTAGCTGTTAACTGTACACTTTGTAGTCAACGCGTTTCACTTCAAAGGTTTTGCAACAAAACGCATAGTTTATTGTAAATAGAGGCGGTTCAGTTGCGAACAGTCCAGTGTAGGTATAGGCAATAGCACCAACCGCCTCTGATCCTGCCGAGCGCCATACTCAGTCGCCACATAAAAACTACGAGACAAAAACTATTTTCTAAACGTTTGCGGTGTTAGCTTTGGAGTACATGGCGTTACTTTATTACACAGATTAAACTTAAAAAAAGAATCACTGCGCATAAGGCAGTTCAGTGATTCATATATTTTAAAAAATGGAATCGTTTTCTAGAGATTAAAAATATTTTCATTAAAATTGCTTTGAAAATAGAACGATTATAACAACAGAATTTTTTTTTAAATGAAACTTCTTATTGTTTATTATCATTTTCAGTTAGGATTCACCTCTATGCTATTAAAGCACTGTTAATGGAACCTCCTTAGGTGGCACACAATAACCTAAATAATTTACGAACAAACAAATTTTCTCGACCTAACGTGTTATACAACAAACGTCCAACGCTCTAGATAATAAAATTAATTTGCTTTGAAAGAAAAACCTTTTTTACTGTCTCGTGCCCCTATCGTAGACCGTGCCAAAATTTTACTAGCAAAATGGATTGCGTATAACGTCGGCCCCTATATATCACCTCATTAGTGAAGTGGATGGCGTGAGGAGACTGGCCGGCGAAATGGCAGACATCTTGCTGGTTGATGAGTACCTCGCTTCACATGTAATACTATGACTAAGTAATATATTACCTTCTGCTTGTAGATAGAAAAAAACTATAAAGCTTTGTGAAAATGGGGTTCCAGAAGAAGCACGTAGGGCCGAGTTTAACATCATCTCTTTTAAATATGATTTATTTTCGCTACACGCAAGTAAGTAATCTATGCGGGTCTAGTATGTGGGTTCCGATCAATCTGCAAATCATATTTCATCAAGATTGGTTCAGATTTTCAAGATGTAGAAGTGTAATAAACAACCATCCAAACTTTGTTGACGTCACACTATTTATACGTTAACCACGCCATAGAATATAGTTTATAAATTCTGTATATGAGTGCAATGATGCTCGAAGCAAGAAAAAAACTGGCTGGTTTTTTAACAGTTAAAGTCTGACACTTCCTTTAGCCTCATTAAGGGCAGGATCAAACTGAAAGTGACTTTCACCTTTAAAAAAGGAAACAAAACCTGACATTCAGTGCATGACTGAATATTAATACTGTACTATATTTTTACCGACGATGAAACATACAGCTCAACAGACCTGGCAACCACCATAACAATAAGACGGTCAAGGAACGTAGTATTGATTCTCCATAACAGCAGAGAACTAGCTTAGGTTCCGAGATATACCATATTTCAACGGCTCCTACAATTAGAAGCGGTTTGTTTGAGCATGCGGCGCGCGTTCATCTCCTCACGACCGGATTAGTATTACGACTGCGTCGCTGGCTACCCCTTATTCATAAGTTGTTATGCAACTGCGCCTTTGGGCTACAACCAACGCTTAATTTATACACGTACGTTATACAGACAAGGTATGTTGAACATTTATTTACAGAAGGGCACTGTTAGAAAGAGATAAGTTACACCCCACTTTTATTATTCTAGAGGCAGTCATTTTTATCATTATATAATCAAGAAACGTCGCATGTTTTAGCAATATATCATAAATACTTTCAAACTACTAAAGAGTTTTGTGGCACTCTTAACAAAATAAAAAAGTTTCCATAAAAATATCTGACAGAATCACTTCACTGTCAATGTCTAGTATTCGCCTAAAAAATCACATTGTTCATCCGAAAAGGCCTGCCTATATTTATTCGCGTGTATGATAAAAATAAAAACAAGGCGAGACTTCAACGGCTACGAACAAAACGAGTAACAGTAATAAGGCGTATTAAAAAAGTGCATAAGTACAGCATACAGTATAATACACGTAGACTCGTTTCTACTAGATATCCCGTAAAGGATCAGTAAGTACATGCTGAAGCCATGAAAATTTATATATTTCATCTATTTTAGTGAGTTATCCCTTCGAGCAACCAAACGTAAGGTTTTATCCTTTGGGATACCTGGAAGCTTAATACGAAATGTGACAGAAATAAATAAATAACTTCCTCTAATGCTACAGTTGAAGGTGACAGATGACAGATCTATTGGATATCCTGAATTATATTATTGTTAAGGCACTAGAATATATATACAAATACGATATGGCAGAAATTTTTCCTTATTTATCGGGGTTGATCGATAAAGAAAGTCGTTTATTTCAAAATTATAAAAATCTACCTTAGAATGTTCTTATTAACCTTCAATAGTGGTAATTCGAAACAAAATAAGTGCGCGAATGCCGGGCGTTCGATGAATTAATCTGCCTCAAATGCTTTATCTAACTCAGCCTTATAAGATAAGCAATTTTTACTACCCTTTATTGACTGCAAAGTTAATTCATGATTCATTCAATGACATAATCTTATCAAAACAATTCACCCGCATTCGTTCCACGCGGCGACATGTAAACCGCAGCTCGGCGCTTTCACGCGGCGCACGCGCAAGCTGCCAGATGCGGCACGCTTCTTCCGCACATGCGCAAGAGTCGACGCGCCGACGACGACGTATGCGCCGGTCTAAAGCACCATGTGTGGCCACTTTACGCGCCTTTACTTCAGAATTTCCGCTTTTATGGCTTACGTTTCTAGCGTAGTTATTTTTGCCGGCTAATAGTAATTGCAGATCAAGCTTTCTTCAATATTTGATTTGTACAATTTCCGTATTTTGAAAAATATGAAATCTTTTTATTTTACCGTAGTGCTATCGGCTCATGCTAGTTTTTTTTTATATTCATTTCATAACATTGATTTGAAACTATGGTGCTCGTTAGAATAATATATATTATTCTAACGAGCACCATAAATATCTTCAAAATTGCACTAATTAACTAATATATTAGTTAATTAGTGCAATTTTGAAGATATTAGTAGGCACTTACGATTTCATGATTATTTATTCAAAATTAAATCATCCATTGCATTACGTAGATGCCTTACTATTTATACCGTGCAATATACTCGTAATTGTAAAAACGAGTAACAAATGCGTTACCAGCCTGTTGAGGGGCAGAAATTAGTGATTAGTGATTTGGTGATAGGGGGAGGAGAATGAAGTCACTTATACAGTGAAAAGCCACTCAAGCGTTGTGTCACGCCGGTTTTCTGTAAGACCGTAGTAACACTCTAATTGGGCCAGCCACTGTAACTACATTTAGTTTTAATAAAATCAATCACTAAATAATTTAACTTAATAATAGGAAAACGAATTTGCGTTGTAATGAGAAATTATGTAAAAAACACAAAATGGGGAAGTTGAGAATTTTATTGCAATAAACTCAATACTATATCTAAGAATAAAACCTCTATTGTAAAACCTATTTAACCTTTATTAATATAAATATAAGTACCATAGGTACCAAAAAAATTAAAATATTTTTTTTAACATTCTATGAAAAGTATGGAACTCGTCGTAGGAA